ATTTCTTTTTCTCTGTCTGACTCGTTTCACTCAATATTATTCTCTCAAGGTCCATCCATGTTGTTGCAAATGGCAGTATTTCATTCGTTTTTATAGCTGAGTAGTATTCCATTGTGTAGATATACCACATTTTCCGTATCCACTCAAGGGGGGTAGATCTTTCATGAATAGGTTAATGCTTTCCCTGGGGGTAAGAGTGTTCTCACTCTTAATTCCTTGAAGAGCTGGTTGTTAAAAGGAGCCTGGTACCTACCATCCCTCTCTCTTGTTTCCTCTCTCCCATGTGATCTCTTTGCCAGCTCCTCTTCCATTTTCTGTCATGAATGGAAGCAGCCTAAAGCCCTTGCCAGATGCAGCTGCCCCAGAATTGTGAGCCAAATAAACCTCTTTTCTTTATAAATTACCTGGTCTCCAGTATGCTCTTATAACAACACAAAAAGATTAAGATAATATCTAAATCTGCTTCCACAATATCAGAATTCTGTAATGGATTTCTTGTTTTTTTTTTTTTTTTTTTCCTTTTTGTCTTTTTTACTGACCGGTAATGGGATCGCAACCCTCGGTGTCGCGCCCGTACCGGGGACCGGCAACAGGATCGCAACCCTCAGTGTTGCGCCCGCACTGCGCTCAGCCAGTGAGCGGGAACCGGTCTCCACATGGGATCTGAACCCTCAGCGGGAGCGCCACCACGCTCCCAAGTGGCACACTCTCCAGTGCGCCACCAGGCCGGCCCAAGGATTTCTTGTTTTTATAAGCATAATAATATGTTGTTACTGTCAAAGTATTTAAGATTTTAGAACTTTATAGGAATTGTAAATAAGAACTTAAATTATCTTAGTCCATGGCACATCTAGAGTAACCTTCCTTTTAAACACAGGACCTGGCTTTTGATAATTCCATTATAAATGATTGTTGAATAACTGAATAAATTCACTTTCAGATGATAAATTTCAAACAGAGGAGACTTCACTATGGAAAGATGATGCCTAACAAAAGCAATATGCTTGAAATCCTTTGTTACTGTCTGATTTTTCTGAGAACTGTAAGCTCCATAAAGGCAGAGGCCATGTCTATATTTTTAACCATTTTATACCTGTTCCCAGGATATGGTTAATGCTAATAATACATATTGATAAGTAGAAAGGTAGATAACCATAACTCAGGGTGGAGAGTGGTCAGATGTATAAAACTAGAGCCATGAAAGTTTAGGGGAGGGAGAATAATTTCCTACTAGGAGGTATAGAAAAGTCTTCATGGAGCAGGTAACTTTTGAACTGGGCCTTGAAGAGTGAGGATTTAGACACCTAGAAACGTACATACATAGATAGAGATCAATGGGAGATCAAAGCCAAAGACTGAACAGGGACTAGTTTGGCATGCATGTATGCATTCAAAAACACATGTTAAGCTCACACTGCAGGCTATGGGTAGGAAGTACCCAGGTGATTCAAATAATTTGATGCTCTCAGAGCTCACGGTTTCCAGTGGAGAGACTAACATACAAATAAGTGCAATGCAGTGTCATGGATCTATGTATACTGGATGCACCAAGAGGGAACAGTTAACTCTACCTGGAGTGGGGGAGTATCAGCAATGGCTTCAGAGAGGCCATGATATAAAAGCTGAGTCTTGTGATGAAAGTCAGCATTTAGCAGGTAGACAGAAGGAAGGACATCTCAGATAAAGAGATCAATATGAACAAAGAAATGTTAAAACAGCTGATTTGATCAAGGAACTACTTAGAAATGGCAGAAACAAAGTATAAGGTAGATGGAGTGAAACATGAGATAGGACCTTTGAATGTCATGTCTTGAGGTCCAGTTAGTCTGAACATGACAGACAGGAAAGACTTTCACAAACCTTGACTTCAGCCTATTTCATTAGGAATTTTTTCATATTAGTTATTGTTGCTATAGTTGTTGAAGTGCAAAAATGCTGTAAAATATGGTATCATTGTGAGTTATTAGTTCCTTGAGGACAAGGAGTATACACCTTTTCATCAAGTATTTTTTTCTGCATATCATTGTTTTCATGGGTTATAAATTTATTCAACTGCCACCTTTTATTACTAAAAGCAACCTAAGTATTTCTGCTTTAATTTCCGTATTTGAAATTGGAAAACTTTCGTCCGGAGTTTAGTAACTTATTTGAGATCACATTACCAACTCGGATTATAAGTGGTAAGTTAAAATTCTTTATCAGTTGCACAACCTTGGGAATAGACAAAAAAACACTGAATTGTATACTTTAAGTGGCTGAATTGTATGGTATGTGAATTACATCTCAAATAAAGCTGTTTTAAAAATCAGTAATAAAATAGACAAAAGGGATTCATTTTTCATAAAACATCAGAGATGTGATTAATTGCCACAAATTCTATGACCACTATAAATTATTCCTCTGTAATAAAATTAGTCTATGTTCAGAAAACAGGATGTTCCTGTTAGTGTAATTAGTAAATTCTAAGAAAGAAACTAATCTATTTAGCAGATAAATTAAATTATGATTTGTTGATTATTAAAAAATCATTTATTGAACTTGAGAATCCTGAATTAAAATCATATAAAGAATAAAAAATGAAGCAGATATAGGTATGAGTTGGTATGTTCCCACTGCCTAAGGTGAAATATGCAGTTAGCAGACATGTTGAACACATACTGTGTGTCAGGCAGTATGCTAAGCATTGGAGATAAATATGGAAAAATGTTTTAAGTAGCTCATAGTTTAATGGGAGAGATGGACAAGTAATCAAGTAATTATAATTTAGGATGACATGTGTTATACGTAAGCATAGACTAACCCTATCCCAAACTGAGGGAATAAAGGAAAGCTTCTGTGCTTCTGAGAAGAGATGACACCTGATTTTCTACAGATTTGAATTTGCTAGGTGAAGTGGGGGTAGGGAGGTAGGAGGATGTCCCACACAGAGGAAGTAGCATGTACAAAAACTCAGAGAGGGGCCGGCCCGGTGGCCTCGGTGGCGCTCCCACCGAGGGTTCGGATCCCACATACAGACCGGCTGCTCACTGGCTGAGCGAGGTGCGGGTGCAACACCGAGGGTTGCGATCCCATAGCCGGTCCCGGTCCGGTACGGGCGCAACACTGAGGGTTGCGATCCGTTGCCGGTCATGAAAAAAGACAAAAAGGAAAAAAAAAAAACTCAGAGAGAAGAGAGCAGGCAGTATTTGGGAGTACTCTTAAGCCATTTAATGTGCCTGAATCATAGGGGGTGGCGGAGTGTGTGGTAAAGAGAGAGGAGTTGAGAAAAGCAGGCAGATTATGAAGGATACTGAAAATTCTATTACATTTTCACATAAGGGAGCCATTGAAGAGAGTATTTGGGAGTACTCTTAAGCCATTTAATGTGCCTGAATCATAGGGGGTGGCGGAGTGTGAGGTAAAGAGAGAGGAGTTGAGAAAAGCAGGCAGATTATGAAGGATACTGAAAATTCTATTACATTTTCACATAAGGGAGCCATTGAAGAGCTTTGAAGAGCATCAGGGAGCCATTGAAGAGCTTTTTCTTGAGAAGAAACATGTTGAGATTTACTCTGAAGTTCAAAGTGAATGTAGGGGCACACTGTGGTAAAGAGACCCATTAGGAAGTAGCTACAATTATCTAGGTGAGAAATGATGAAGGCTTAAACTGAGATCACTGCAGTGGGAATGACGAGAGTCATCTGTGGGTTGGAAAGATTTTCATCAGGCATAATTGATATGAATTGATAACTGCTTAGAAGGGACCTGGAGAGAAGGAGGATTGAAAGATGATTTTGTGTTTTTTGTCTTAGGCAAGTGGGTGGATGTTGGTACCATTCACTGAGATGTAGGGAACATTACAGGAGGACAGGACTTAGGAAGGGAAGATGTTGAGGACAGTGTTGTGCATGTTCAGTTTGAGATGTTTGTGGAGCCTGATGTACAGGCAGTTAGTACATAGCTTGGAATTTAGGACAAAGAGATGGACTAGAGATACACATTTTGGAATTGTTGACTGTAAAAGTGGATGAGGTCACCTACGGACAAAGAGCAGAGTAAGAAGAAAAGGAGAACAAGAATAGAAGTCTGGGGTGTATAAATATTTAAGTAGGGAGGGATGGAGGAAGTTTTTGCTAAAACCATATGTTATTCAATCTGTCATGTCTAAAATGGGAGGAATAAAAAAATTATGAGTGTCAATCCATCACAATTTCTTTTACTCTGTGACTCTGGATGGCCCCATCATTCCTACAATAAGCTGGAAAATTAGTAAATAAGGTATAGATTATTAGTTTGATTCCATATATCTCTTAATATTCAGAGGAGATAGTAGGGAATGTTTATAAATCTTTTTGAGGACTAGTATTTGTTTTGCAATTTTAATTGTAGGTTGAGACTGTACTAATTTATTTTGTGTTCTCTCTTTTAGATTTGGGTGAATTGGAACCTAAATGTGTCCGCTGCAAAGATGGTTACACAGGCGAGAACTGCAATAAATGTGAATATGGCTATTACAATTTTGACAGCATCTGTATAAAGTGCAAATGTCATGGCCACGTGGACCCAATTAAAACTCCAAAGATTTGTAAGCCCGAGAATGGTGAGTGCATCAACTGCCTCCATAACACCACCGGGTTTTTTTGTGAGAACTGCCTGGAAGGTTATGTTCGAGACTTCGAGGGAAATTGCATCAAGAAAGGTAAAACTTCACTTAAGGTTGTAAATTTAATATTTAAGCCTAGCAGTGAAAACTTCAGGACAACTACATTTAGCTTTGTAAAACTGTCCAATTTCAACAAAGGAATTTCTGGAAATATATTTTGATAGATATTTGCCTAAAGAGGTTTCCTTCTATTCCTGCTATTCTCCTGACATTCCAAAGTCAACTGCAGAAATTTGAGGATCAAGACAAAGTCATTGTGACAGTGAGAAAAAGTGTTGTTACATTTTCTCTTCATCTATTTTTATTTTTATGTTAATAATTCAAAAATCCTATCATTTCTTTTATCCTTTGCTTCCTTTATTTTCATCACTTCCAGTGATCATAAAAGGTCATTTCAAGTAGGGACCTAGAGTCTGGTTAGAAGTTCCAGCCGAGAAACTGGAGTTCATTCTAGCATTTATCCTAAATTTGGGCTTAAATTTGCCCATGTATGATGGAGGAAATATTAAAAATATTACTTTTGATTTTTAAAAGAAAAAGTTGTTTATATGGAAGAACATTTTTTTACAGAGAAGTTCAGTAAGGATTAAGAAAAAAATTAATGATTATAAATTTGGGATGAGTGAGGGATATTCAGGACTTATTAGGTCACAGAAAGATTAGACTACGCTCTTCTACAGACCACTTTTTGATATTCCAACAGAAGCTGAATACTAAGCTGATAGTTGGTCTGTGGCAAGTGTCATCTTTCTGCCATTTTCTTAATATACTGTTATTATCAAGCCTGAAAGGCTCAAACTGAACCCTATCACTAGCTAGAGATACTGTCATTCAGGGCTCTTTCCTTTTTGGGAGGCATACTTTGTCCATATTTAGCTGACACGACTGTGATGATTTTTCTCATTAGTTATTATATAATATAAACTTTACCTCTTTTTAGGATAATTGATGTGGCTGACTGTAATGATGAATTATAATAATAGTAGGTACTATTTTATTGAGTACCTAGTATGTGATAAGCACTGTAAACATTAAATGTGATAATGCTATGTAATACATTATCTCATTTAATCCTTCCCAAGAACTCTGCAACATAGACATTATTATTCCCGTTTTACTGATGAGGAACCTGAGCTTTCAAAAGATCGACTTATCTGTAACCACGCAGTTCTACTTGATTCCAAAGCCTTTGGTCCTTCCACTAAGCTATGCTTCTATTAGAAGTACCAAATATAGTACCTTAATTATAAAATAGCTGTAATCTATATAAAGGAAGAATTACTACACATGGAATTAAAGGAAGGCTGTTTTCTCTCTTGGCTGACATCAACTTTGGACATTTAAATTGTGTTTTTTAGATGTAACTAGAGATACAGTTTTTACTACACCTCCTTTGAAGAGATTTTTGCCTTTATGAAATGCCATCAGACATATTGGACTTATTATAGTTCAAATGATTGCCATCTATCCCTGTCATTTTTAACCACGTGATTTATAACTCAGTAATGACATATTCACTGCCTTCACAGGAATTTGTATGACTCTATCCAAGAGTAAAGAAGGATGGAAAACTCCAACATTGGAATTTTCCCAGAGATTTTAATATAGATATTATAAAAATTGGAGAACAGCCATGGATGTAATAACCTAGCTTTCCAGATCCTGATTCTTATCACTATATTTCTTTAAAAATTATTTTTAACTTGCATTATCTTAAAGCAGAGTATCATGTCAACATCCCACATCAACTTCCACTCCCATGTGTATTTCTTTTATTGTTTCTCCAAACTAGATAATTTTGTCTTTTACATTTCATTCTCTGTTTTTATTTTCAGAAGTTATTGTTCCAACACCTGAAGGTTCTACCATTTTGGTTTCCAATGCCTCTTTGACCACATCAGTGCCCACCCCTGTTATAAATAGTACATTTACCCCCACAACCCTGCAGACTATCTTTTCAGTAAGCTCTTCTGAAAACAGCACTTCAGCTTTAGCTGATGTATCATGGACCCAATTTAACATCATCATTTTGACAGTCATCATCATTGTGGTGGTGCTGCTAATGGGATTTGTGGGGGCTGTATATATGTACCGTGAATACCAAAACCGGAAACTCAATGCCCCCTTTTGGACCATCGAGCTGAAAGAAGACAATATCAGTTTCAGCAGCTACCATGACAGCATTCCCAATGCAGATGTATCGGGATTGTTGGAAGATGATGGCAATGAAGTGGCTCCCAATGGGCAACTGACCCTGACGACACCCATACATAACTACAAAGCCTAAGGAGCTAGAGCTATTCTGGATTGTTAAACCACAGTGCTTACTAAAACAGCATCAGTCCCTGGGCCAGACAAAGCCTGGGTGGAGTTTGCTGAGAAAGCAAAGGCCAATAGTGCATCTGAAATTTTTGGGTACAAATTTATAATGTGCTTAGCCTATCTGTTGCTCTTAGATTTCCCATGAAGATCTGAAGTATTCACTGTCACTAAAGACCCGAAGTAAAGTATATTTTTGTACCAAACCACATGGGACTAAGGAAAGGCTGAACTCCATAGCACAGCCCAAATCCACTTTGACCTTCAAATAGACTTGTGGGGAAATGTTCACCAAACCAATGGTAACAGGATAATGGATGTGGAGGGGGAAAGGACTGCTGGAAGACTTCATCTCCATTCCTGAAACACATTTTTATTTACAGGAGGGTCAGGGATTATATTAATTTTACTGTACTAAAAGACATCATTGAGGAAAAGCTGGCATCTAGGCTGTATCTTGATTGTTTCTAGAATAGGGACAGAAAAGTCCCAAGAAGGTCTTTAGAAGGGCTTGATTTTTCCTCCAAGGATTCTTGCCCAATGATGACATTAAAGCACAGGATAAACTTCTAATGGTAAAGAGAGAAAGGCAGCATTGGGGAGCAGGAAGCTGATGGTCCCACTCAGGGTCTCAGTGTAAATGACTGATTGTCTGAAAATAAGGAATATTCCTGTATCTAGAGAAATAAGATGTACATAGTTAATGTAGCATATCTGGTCAACATTGTATTTCTATCTATTTGTAAAAAAAAATCATGTCATATTTTATCATCTAGAATTTATTTGTACAGCAGTTAATGGCATTGTAAAAAGAAAATATGGGATTGGTTAAAATATTGTAAAATAGATGGCAATATTGCTAGAGCTGGGACTCTGGTGAGCATCAGTCATTTTCAGTCCCTGTTTGGACATTGTTGAAATTTATGAGGTTGAACGTTTCTAGTTTTTCTTTCCTTTCTCAATTTAAAAGTAGAGTTATATGCTCTTTAATATAGATTCAAGCAATAGATTTCGAAGTCAATAATTGTTAAGCTGGGACACAGGCTGCATTCTCCAAAATACTTAATTAGATACTAGGCACTCTATATATTTTATATAGATTAATATAAAACATATCCTAATTAAATATGTTTTTCCTAAATGTAGGAGACAGTCTTCCAAAGGATAGAAATATTTTAGTTCCAAAAGAAAGCCATTATAATCACTTCAGATTCCTAGTTTTCATGCTTGTGAAATATGAGGATTTATACCCGCTCCCCCCAAAATAAAAACCCTCCATTTGAACATAGCCCACCAGTCATTTGCTGTGAGGTGTGTGCCATCTTTCTGCAGTGCTATAGTTCTCCCATCTTCTTGTCTGGTTAGAGGATAACTCTGTAGTTTGGTGAAAATAAAAACCCTCCATTTGAACATAGCCCACCAGTCATTTGCTGTGAGGTGTGTGCCATCTCTCTGCAGTGCTATAGTTCTCCCATCTTCTTGTCTGGTTAGAGGATAACTCTGTAGTTTGGTGAGCATAGTTAGTACTTGGTTTTAGATACAATTTTTTCCTAGAGGCCAACTGTTGCTCTCATTTATTATGATGTTGACAGATTGTAGATTAAGCAAGCTAGGAAAGGTGGCCAGAAGTCAAATATAGATATTTATTAGGAGGAACAGCAAACTGTGAAGTGGATAGAAAAACACAAAGACTTTTTTTTATCAGATTAGACTTAGGAAATCCAAGTTGACCCCTTTGCCTAACTTCCTCAGAGAAAAACCTAGAACTTGGTCATCCCTTTATAGAATACCCCTAAGTTGTTCTCAGGGTTTGGAGATGATGCTCTGTAGGATGTACAGACAAATAATCTACTTCTGGTAACCTGAGGATGCTCTGCGTATTTGGCCATTGCTCACAAGAGTAGAGATTACATTATATTAAAATTATTTAATATTTCTACAGCCCTTTGTAGTTTGCAAAGCACTTTTCCATGTGGGTGTCCTTTGTTCCTCACCACAGCCCCTGAGGAAGTAATTATTGTCGCCACTTTGTAGATGAGACTGAGGCACAGAGAGGTTCAATGTCTTGTTCAAGGCTACACAATGTGTGTCATTATTTGGCTTGGAATCGGGACTTCTAGTTCTGAAGCACATATTCTTTCAACTATACACTGATGCAGAAATTTCCTAGCCATGGACACAAGAAGGCTGGGAGGAAGAGTTCCATTTGTGGATGTTTCTAATGTTTTTGTAAGTACCAGATATAGTTGAGGGACATACAGCTGTGAAGGACTTTGTGGAGAGAACACAGGAGGAAAATTATCTGAAGCCAGCGTTAGTGATAAGAAAACACAACTACCAGTTTGTGCTTCATTAAAGTGAATTAACCCTTCCAAGCAGGGAGGTAAAACTTGCCTTCCCAGCAGTTGCTGCATAGTTATGTATGGACTGTGCACTGCATAATTCCAAGGAATTGTGCAATTTGGCATACCTGCCTTTCTCCCAGATACCCGTGCCAAAAAGAATCAAGATTGAGGATGGTGAGAAATAAACATTTGTTAAAAGGAAGTTAACCCAATGTAGAAAGAAGGAGTGTTTGTTGGAGTCTAAGAGCCAAAGCCAAGTAGTTAGGATTCCGGCCATGTAGAGATTCCTTAAAACAGACCTTAATGCAAAAATTGCAGTAATCAAATAACAAAGAATGTTGACCTTTAAATACTTGTTAATAGCTCCTAGGTCATGTTCTTAATTTTTCCCAAAGGAAAAAAAAATTAAGGTCTTAAAATTTGTTTTAAATAATATTCTTTAGTGGCCCCAGCATTTTGCTTGTGGAAATAATTTTGTCCTAAAATATAAATCAATCATGAAATGATCTATTACTGAAATCAGACTAGGATACTAGTATGGAATGCACAGCACAATATTCATTCATCTGAAGGCATGATCCCCATGAATAATGGTGTCCAACAGCAGGACCCCATCAGTCCTTTAGAAGCCCTAATATTGGAAGAATTTTTGTCTAAGGATTAGAAATATGTTTATTTTTAAATAAGACTTATGTGAGTCTTACTGAGAAATGACAGATACTGCTCCTAAGGGATACTTTTTAATCTTCATTAATTCATTTTAGGAAGCCCTTATGCATTTCTGATAGATGCCCTAGGTAGTGTTCTTAAGTATGTCTTTGTCTTCCCTTACTTCCCCCTCCCTCCCTCCACCCTCTACCTCCCAGGACTCTCTTATTTATGGACTTTCTCAGTTATAGAGAAAAAGTGATAATAAAAACTAAACCTCATTTATACTAAGGTCCTATGGACCTAGTGTGTTACCTTTTCCAGGTATACCTGGATTTTAAGAGTGAAGAACAGACAGAGCAGACAGGATGGAAGGAGAGAGACTTTTTTGGACAGGATTTGTTGAAGCCTCAAATTATGTGGCTACTCTCTAGCCCCAGGACATTTAGCCCTTCTTGTACTGTGATGGAAGCAGAGAGCTAAAGTAACAGTACTTCTTGACAGCTTCAATTGGAAATGGCTCCAGTACTTTTTGTGGGACATTTGATGAACATAACACCACTTATAATGAATGTCTGGTTCTTATATTTTGGGGTATGTAGGTAGGATTTGAATTTTCACATCTCAAGGAAAACTCTCTGAACAAAAAGTTCAGAGAAGTAAAAGGCAACCCAGTATAACCTATTGGAGCAAGGAAGGCATTTTTGGCCTCATTCATAAGGAACCTTTGGCTTGTTATGATCTTTTTGACAGTAAGGAGTTTGCGAGTTAAAATGTGTGCAGGGGAGTAATGGAAGGTTAATGCATTCTTCTCTTTAACCCTGAGCCAGTGACTATGCCAAGGGGAAAAGCAAGAAGAACACACTGATTCATCTGAAGAAGTCAAATAATATGGAATGGACTAAAGGTTATGGATCATTAAAATGTCAGTGGTTGAATGATGCTTTTTCAAAGGCGATTGGGAATCTTTCTCTCTTGTTACTTATGCATATGCAATAACTACAGCAGCAGCCCTAGAATGTGAGCCCGGGGCTTCAGATCTGTTAGTCCAAAAACTAAATGATTTAAGGTCAAGTTGTATGCTAGGCACAAGCACTCTGTAATAATGTTAAATTTCAGTGTGAGCAATTAGGGAATGTTTCTGAAACATTAAACTTGTATTTATGTCACTAAAATTCTAACACAAATTTTAAAAACATGTCTCATACATATGCTGTACTAGGCTTCATGATGCATTTCTAAATTTGTGTATGATTTGAATATATGAAAGAATTTATACAAGAGTGTTATTTAAAATTATTAAAAAATAAATGTATATAATTTGTACTTATTGTAGATTGGTTGTTTTACTTTTTTATGTGGTCAGAGTTCTTAGAAGTCTTTAAATATATGCCAAGGATCATTTATTGTCAACCCACTTCATGAAAATCTTTGAACCCTTCATTTATTGACCATGCATTTTGCTTAAGTTCATTTAAAGAATGTTTTCCACTTGAGGAAAAAAAAATACCACATGAAGAAAATTGCCCCTCCTAAAAAATAAAAAAACAAACACCTGAGAAGAAAACATGTATTAACATACATTCTTGTATGTGCATGTGCCCATCCCTTAGGAGATCCACTGGGATTTTCATGAAAATCTTGTAGAGAAAACTTGCTCCCTTTGGATTTCTTTTTCACACATGTAAAGAATTTCATTTTCTAATAAAAATCCGAAGGGAAACAACATTCTATGTTTTTATTAGGTAATCCATAATTAGAGTACATCTTTTTATTTTAAGGTACCCTTGAAGATCCTCTGCTCTGACAAAGCTAAATGGTATTTAATGAGATGTCATCTAGAGATCCAAAGGGTACTTGGAAAAAGAAGAAAAAAAGTCAGGGATTTCTTTGTGCTGAGAGCTTTATAAAGTTGATGGTTTATTCACCTTCAGTTGGTTAATATTTAAATTTTAAAACCTTGTTTTTTCCTTTTCTAGTCATACAAGAAAATGTGGTTTATTACTTTATAATCACACCTAGTATATTTATACGTGTGGTTCTCTGATATATATGAATTGGGTATTAAGGGAACAGAATAAGCATGGCAGAAATCTAACTAAACAAAGTTTCAAGAGAAAGTAAATATACTTACAAACTTACCACACTGAGAGGGAATATTATAAAAAAAACTTTTATACTATTGTTCATACTTTTGAGGAAAGTCTATCAAGTAAAGACATTTACTAGATTGCATTATCAAAACTGGTTGTATTCATTTTCCATAGGAGTATAAGACACATGTTTTTAAAAATTCCACATGCCCCATTATAATTAAATCAGTATCTTTGAAGTAACAATTGTGCTTAGTTGTGTTAAAAAAAGTTAAGCTAAATGAAAAACAAAATGTTTTTCATGAGATGATATTGTTAGGAGTGTTAACTGACAGGCTGAAAAGCAACATCCTAAGTGAATGTTAAAATTATAGTTTTACCCATAAGTTAGTTTTTCAAGGCAATTTTATGAAGAGACTATTGTAGTAATTGTACAGGCTTTCTAATATTGCTTACAAAATGAAAGCCATCAGATGGTGTCATAATAAGGTTTTAAACCTTGTATGTTGAATTGAACACTGCACTTCAGGCAGTTGCAGAAAAAGACAGGCAAAATGTTTTCTTTATACGTAATAAGAGTAGGTTTGGGTAATAAAGGAAGTGTTTGGGAGGAGATCTTCTTTTGTGGTTTCCTTTGTGTTGTCAGACCAACTAACTGCTAAAATCGTATATATGAAAATTGTTTTTAAATCTCTGCCCCAAATAAGTGTCTCAACCCTTCCCTATATTCATTACCATTCTAATCCAACCACAGTAAACTCATGTATAATTTCTGTATGTGTCAGGTTATGTGCTCTTTCTCCCTTTGCTAGTACTGTTTCCTCTACCTTGAGAATGTTTATTCATTCTTTGCAACCCCTTGATAAAGAAAAATTGATTAACCCTTTTGTACCTGCATTTTGCCTAATGAATACCTCTCTTACTGCACATATTTTATTGTAAATACTTGTTATTCTGTGTCTTCCCCAGTAGACTCCATATTCCTTGAAACCAGAAGCATTTATTCTTCTATCTCTGATATCTGGCATAGTGCTGGTACATTGTGGGTGCTCAGTAAATGGTGGATTAAAACAAAAGGTGCTTGACAATACAAAAGTTAGTATGTGAACTTATTTGGTGAAGTATTGTAAGAAATCTTATATTCAGTGGTTAGGACAATATTTCTTATTCAAGAGAGGTGTCAAAATGCAGACTTCAGAGGATCTGAGAAACCCTTGAAATTTGAAACTATGTTTTTTTTGTTTGTCTTTTTTTTTTTTTTTCCTTTTTGTCTTTTTTCATGACCGGCAACAGATCGCAACCCTCAGTGTTGCGCCCGTACCAGACCGGGACCGGCCACAGGATTGCAACCCTCGGCGTTGCTCCCGCCCCTCGCTCAGCCAGTGAGCGGCCGGTCTGTATGTGGGATCCGAACCCTCGGCGGGAGCGCCACCGCGCTTCCCAAGCGGCGCACTATAGCAGTGCGCCACCGGGCTGGCCCTGTTTGTTTGTCTTTATGAATGCAATTGTGTGGGATTTTTTTCTGGAGAGAAGATCCGTACCTGTAATCGCAATCTCAAAAGGATCCCTGATCCCAAAAGGATTACCAACTACTTGGATGGGGATTATCTTGTGTTTTTAGCAGTAAAAACTCTCCCATTAAATCTAAATTTGTACAATTGGTAAATTGATCTTGATTCAAGAAATACACTTCTAGGAATCCTCCATAAGAAAATGAGCTAGAAAGCAGAGACTTCTGCACAAATTTTTTTTTAGAATTCTGTATGAAGTTCCAAAAAAGGAGGACAAATTCTAGATGTTCAACAATAGAGATGTAGTTTAGTGCATATACTTGTTGAGATAACATACAGTCATTAAAAGGGATTAGTAAGAATCATTAGAATCAAGTTAAATGATGAAAAATTGGATATTTTGAAGGTGTGTATGCAATTCCACTCCTGGTATATGGTTTAGAGAAACTCTTAAGTATGTGTACCAGAAGCCACATTTCAAATTCTTCATTGTAGCATTATTTTTTATGGCAAAATAATTGGAAACAGTCCAAATGTCTGTTTATTAGAAGAATGGATAGATTGTGGTCTATCTTTGAACAGAATTTTATGCAGTAGTGGAAAATTGAATGAATTACAGCTATATACACCAATATGGATGAATCACAAAAACATAATGTTGAGCAAAAATATCAAGTTACAGAGAATATATACAGTATAATTTCTTTTATATAAGGGCCAAAAATGGGAAATAGAATAACAATGTTGTTTAGAAATACATACAGATGTGGGGAAACTGTAAAGAAAAACAAGACAATGATTACTTAAAAAGTAAAGATAACTTTGGAAGGGGGAGGAAGATGTACAGATGGCTTCAAAGATATCAGTAATGTTCTATTTCTTTAGCTGTGTGTGGATACATGGGTTTTTATTGTACTCTTTTTTAAGCAATATGTGTGTGTATACACACTAGTATATATGTAACACAGTGAAAAACTTTAATAGGATATAAACTGGTGGATACAACATGATTTCAACTATGTTGAAAAAAAATATAAAGAAAATGTCTGAAAGGAAACACCATAATTAGTGATGCCTGTGCTAAAGAAACAAACCAAATCCACTACAATTTATTTTATAATGGTAAAAAAATAAATTCATCAAGAGGATATAACAATCCTAAATGTGTATGCGCCTAATAACAGAGCTTCAAAATACATGAGGCAGAAACTGATTGTACTAAAAAGAGAAATAGGCAAAACCATGCTATAGTTGGAGATTATAACCCCTCTCTCATCATATAGAACAAGTAGACAGAATACCAGTAAGGATATAGAATACTTGAACAACACTATCACCACTATGTAATTGACATAGAACACTACTCAACAGTAGTAGAATATACATTCTTTTCGAATGCACCTGGAACATTTACCAAAAAGACCATACACTGGGCCATAAAATAAGTCTCAACAAATTAAAAAATATTAAGTCATATAAAATATGTTCTCTGACCACTAATCTCTAAACTAGAAATTAGTAAGAGAAATAGATCTGGGAAATTCTGAAATATTTGAAAACTAACATAATTCTAAATAACATAGGTCAAAGTAAAAATGAAGAAAAATTAGAAAGTATTTTGAACCGACTGAAAATGAAAATACAGCATTTCAAATTTGTGGGATGCAGCTAAGGCAGTGCCTAGAGGAAAACTCAGAGCACTAAAATCTCTATATTAGAAAATAGGAAAGACCTCAAATTAATGACCTAAGCTCTTAAACTAGAAAAGGAAGAGCAAAATAAACCCAAAGTAAGTAGAAGATAGGAAATTATGAAGATAAGAGCAAAAATGAATAAAATAGAAAATAGAGAAAATCAATGGAAATAAAAGCTAGTTCTTTGATAAATTTAACAAAATTTATAAACTTCTAGCCAGATGATTAAAATTAAAAGAGAGGGAGAAGACACAAAAAACCAACATGAGGAATGAGAGGGGAAATCACTATAGATGCCACAGACATTAAAAGGATAATAAGGGAAGTTTATGCCAATAAAGTTGATGACAGGAGAAATGTACAGATTCCATGAAAGACATAGACTACTATGCTCAGTCAAAAAGAAATAACCTGAATAGCACTATATCTATTAAAGAAATTGAATTTGTAGTTAAAAAACTTTCCAAAAACAAAACCTCAGGTCCAGATAGCTTCGCTGGTGAATTCTAGAAACACTTAATGAATAAATATTACCAATTCTACACAAACTCTTCCTGAAATACTAAAGGCAATATTTCCCAACTCATTCAATGATATCTGATACCAAAACCAAAGACATCACAAGAAATCTATAAACTATTATCTCTCATGAACATAGATGTGAATATTTCTAAGAAAATTTAAGCAAATTAAATATACTATATATAAAAAAATAGTACTTCATGACTAACTGGGGTTTATTCCATGGATGCAAGGTTGGTTTAACATTTGAAAATCAATCAATGTAATTCACACAGACTGAAAAAGAAAATTCATGAGATGATTATCTCAGTAGATGCAGAAAAAGCATCTGGAAAAATCCAACATTTAATCATGATAAAAATGATGATGATAATGATGATGATGATCTCCTGTGATACTGTGATACAATAAGAAATATATGTTTTGGTCTTCATCTGTCTCTTGACCAGAGCTCCTAAAACCACTGTAATTTCCTAAGTGATAAGAACTACAGGAGTATATTCTGTTATAATACT